TTCCCGAAGTTTAAAGGCCACGTTTGAAAGGACTATCACAGATTATCTGCTTTGTTAAAACCATGGGATTTTGAAGTTTCCGATTTCTGAAATTGTGAAACAGCGCGGCAAAGTGGTGCAACCATTGGCGACTCATAAATGGTCGGACAGCTTCAAGTTTGCTAGGAGGCAACCGTCTTTGCTCTCATCATGTCTCATCAAACATGGCAATGAACAACACAAAGCATTTGTGCTTTGTCATAAACGCAAAGCTAAGCTGGTTTGTGAGGAGCTTCGCTAAGGTTTATGATGTTTTTGGTGGAAATAGTATCATCATGTACAATATCTTCTACAGTTTGAGCGGAGTATAAATAACTTACCCTCCGGTATAGTTTAAGATAGCTATGGAAACTATGGCCAGTAAAGTTCGATTACCCATCAAACATGGTGATTTTCAATATAGCAAACTCTTAGTCATTAACAGAGTCTGTAGCTAACGTCACCGCTTTTACTCCGGCGATTTTCCCCTTGAGACTGACAAAAAAAGGCCTTCGCGCAGCATCGCGGATTCGGACTTTAACCCTATAGGTGCTTTGTTGTTTTGTTCGTATCATCGTGAAGAATGGCACTTGACTGATTTGACCAGCAGAAAAATGATGATTTCAGCAATTTTTTTTGGGGGGTATAATGGAATATCACCAGCAATGGGGTACTAGTACCTACAATATACCTACAACTTAGTCGGAAATTATTGGTCGAACCGATGAATACTGTAATGGATATAGCAAATCGCCATCAAAGTATGGGGCAACATCATGAAGACGCATTGGATTTTGTTGTGCCAAGGGGTACCCTATTTGCAGATGAGTCAATACCCTGCCAACATGAAACACACATTGACATTGCGGTGGGATAAATGATAAATCCATCTTTGCCCAAAAACAGCTTGAAAGCAACGTCTAAATCCGGCACAAGCCCAGTTTATTTTAGGGTTGAACTGTTACATAAGCATTGAAGTATCATTCTTCCACAAACTGTTCCTGTAGCATCTTCTGTCGATTCACTACTGTACGCGATTCCTTGAAGTATATATATATTATATATATATAGTTTTGATTGAACAACAACAAGCAACACTAAATCCTGGCTCATCATACGTTGCCCCTTTAACATTGCCACCGGTAAACCCGGATACAGGAGTTCCGATTGTAGAATTCCTCCACTGATCAAACAGAGAGCCTGTCACCTTTCAAACCACTTCAGTCCACCAATGCCGCAGCTTAAGATCACCTCAATTTGAAACAGTATGGGTAAATTTTGTTACCGCATGGAAGGATTAAACGCAACCAAAAAAACGACCAACTTTTGCTGGTTCATATGGGCTTGCAAGAGCCTTTGACAGGTTGCTTCTCAAAAAATCCAATGTAGTTGGCTTATAACATTTTATAACCCTTAAGTAAAGATCAGATCTATCCAGCACAAATCCGATTGTTGACCTATATTGAACAAAACCATCGGAAACCTATCGAACTGGGTTTCACCCTTCCTGTACTCACTTGGTCTCAAAGGCTGGTAAAGCATCACCCAAAACATCACCTGAAGCTGTGCTTCCGACTTTCGAGACTCACCTCTTCCGCTAAAATATGTGGTCAGATTCGTAGAAATGTGGCTGTTTCATTTCGGTTGACACTGGGAAAAGCATGGGAAAAGCATCTATAGAATCTAAAATAGGGATACACATAGATATATATATATATATTTACGTGCCAACAACATGATAGTCGGGCGTTGGCCTGTGGGAGGCGCCCCCTTAAAATTCGGAGGCGTCTCACCATCCACGATTCGTGTCCAGTGGCGTTAAGATTCGTGTCCAGGCCTTCCTGATGTTTTACCATTTAAAAAAAAAAACATAACAAAAAAAAACATTTAAAAAAAAACGCCTTTTTGATGGTGTTGACCATGAATTGACCAACCATTTCAGTGACATCTGACGCACCGAAAAATGAGGATGAAACATGGAGAGTTAACCGAACAATGGGGACATTTTACCAGCGGAATCCATGGGTTTGATATGGTTTCATCTTGGAATATCTAAAACTGAGAGGTACAGCAAGTTGGTCTATGACCTATAGATACCTATAGCAAAAACCACACTTTACTGTGGATATATCATGATATATCTACAGTTCTATGGCTGAAAGCAAAAAAACAGCGATCGAGACTTCTAGTGGTGCTTAAGCTGCCTGGCTGGGCCCCGTGAGATCAAGTGAGCACTGACAGATGGTTACCCTCTGGTTATTTAACATAGCCATGGTATAGATGGCCCATAGAAATAGAATGAAATAGATGTTTTTTCCCATTAAACATGGTGATGTTCCACGGCTATGTTAAATAACACGATGGTTAGGTTTGAAGAAAAATGCAGGACACCACCAGTGGTTTTTTTAGGACCACTTCCGTGGGATATTCCTGCAGATGTTCCGTTCAACCAATGCTGGGCAAAATGATGTTCTTGTCTTAGATGGGGCCATGGTCAAATGACGGCATATGGGCATATGGATGTATATGCAGTTTGGTCGTCCCACCAAAATCATGAACGGGATTTCCATCATGATGGGTAAACATGGGTTTGCCCTACCACCTATCAAACCCTGCAGGAAAATCAAAGTTGACACACACTTTGATGGGCCATGACCCCAGCCCATAGCTGGCCATATTAGCTTCAGTGTTCAGGATCGAAGAAAGATGTTTCGATGGAGTAAGTTTTGCCCCGCTCTAAATTGTTACTGATTTGAATTATGATACATGTACGTGTATATATATATATTATATATTATATATATATTTTATATATACGTACATAATAACATAATATAACCACTTGGTGGTTTCACACCCACGGCAAAACATTCACCATGTTGGTTCATCATATACAGAAGAAAACTGAAGGAACAACCACATGAAAACAGCAACTCGGTATGATTTCGGTATGGCTGTGACCACAGAACCCCCAAAAAAATCAAACAACTTGTTGTGGCCGGGCGGTGTCCCCCAAAGGTACACCCAAGGAGCCCCGAAGACAAGTCCGGCCAACGAGATTTCAGGACAACGGAAACCTTCCTGAGGCAAGAAATGCTGCTTCTGTTTGGGGACATGTAGTGGGACTTGGGTGGCGATGGCAGTGAATGGGATGCAACGCCTCCAGGAAGAATGGCACATACACTGCCTTTACATCAAATTAGCCCCTGCAGTTAGAAGTTGATCATCACCCCCCAATATTTTTTCGACAAGCCCTAAACGAAACCATGCTAACTAGTAGGGAATGAAACCACATAATTGGGACCACAGGAAGGGTGTTTGTTCTTTTTTTCGAATGGGGGATGGGATTACTGAAGTTCATTAATCCCATATGATCCATGGTGCTGGAATATTTATCAACATTTGCCGAAACAAAATCACCAAGTTTTGTAGGTAAATTTACCAGCACCATGGAGCATATGGGAATGTTAATTATCATGTTTCGAATTGAACTGACTATATCTGTGGGGCCATGGTGAAATCCAGGATGGAGGGATCATACAGCTCTTGAATCACCCGCAACGGTGCGATTCAGAAAACACGTCCAACCATGGTTACACTCCCCATGAACCCTAGGTATCCCTACGTAGCCCAGTTATAAAGTAATTTGGCGAACTATGGGACACCCATCACCTTGTACCTGCATGTAACAATGGCTCAAACCAACCTATTTTTCAGTTTGGATCATTCAAGATTCAGGGCTCAACATCACCAACATTCACCAACTATCACTGGCCATTTCAGGATCCTAAATTGGAGGTACTTACCATATATAAGGCCTATTGTTCAGGCCTATGTAAGGGAATATCCCTAGAACATATACCCTTATATGGTACAGTACCTCCCCATTTCAGGATCCTGAAATTCCCATTGAAACTATGGGCATTTGTAGAGTCCAAAGCTCTGTTTGGTTTTCCCCCTTGCGGTGGTCACACACTGACCCCTTCCCAGGATTCAAGGCTACTGTTGGACCATCCACTTCTGTGATGTTTGAACCTGCCATCATCATGGCCAATCTTAAGTACCTGCATGTCATATACTGTATACCCTCTGGTAAACTAACATAGCTACGGAAAATAGCCATTTATAGTTGATTTACCCATTAATAAATGTGATTTTCCATAGTTATGTTAGTTTACCGGAGGGTATATATGTTTATGACTATTTATGAATTTCGCCTTCACAATGGCCAACAAAAACAAGTACGAACTGAAGTATCCTTCACCAAGGTTCACAAAACAACGTCCATTTGTTTCAGGCTCGCAAAGCAAGGTTTCATCGGTGGGTTTACTAAATGAAATATTTACTGATTAAGTATTGCTGATCAAATCTCTGAAATTTGCAGTTGAAATTGGCATTGAAGCGGGTTTCTCGAAATGGGGATACCAGAAAACATTGCTTATACTTGTCCGAAACCCATATGCTCCATGGTGCTGGAATATTTACCAACATTTGCCCAAACAAAATCACCCAGTTTTGTAGGTAAATATACCAGCACCATGGAGCATATGGGCAATGAAAAAAGGACACATATGTTTCTTTTTTCAAATTTCAAATCCTCCAACTGCCGAATTGTTTCTTCAAACGTCCCAGTTTCCGTGAGGAAAATGTGCTTGAGGATGCAAGCTGCCGCCACACTCCGGTGCTTGCCGCGGCGGCAATACCTAGAAGCACCAAAATGGGGATTACCATCCGTAGCCATGGGAAATTGAGGATTCAAATGGTGATTTCACCAACAAAATTGATCACAATTGTGGGTAAAACATGGTATTACTGCATTCTGGTTTTCCACTGGTTACCCATCCGGATTTACATGATGGGAAACATCCCCATTTCAACAGAACAATCAACAATTTCATCCATCTGTTTCAGGCTAGTGGTCTCTATTTCATCTTGATTGTTGCCGCGTTTTTTCTATCTGGAGGTTTCCTGAAATTGGGGTAACCCTAGTTATCATCCAGCTATTAGATTTGGATTTTCCATGAAATAAACCATCCAGCTATTGGGGTATCCCCATTCTTGGAAACCCCCATATGATGACTGGAATCGCCCGAGGTAGGTGACTGACCCTTGATGAGTGGAGCCCGAATAGATCCAAGATGATCCAAGACTAAACCATCCAAAAAAACCATCGGCATTGAACTGTTATATTATAATTACCCACTGGTAATGACTAACATAGCTATTGAACATGACCATTTATAGTGGATTTACCCATTGAAAATGGTGATTTTCCATAGTTATGTTAGTTAACCAGAGGGTATATGGCATCGGAAATCACGATTTTGGCATTTTTCAAACACTGAAAATGGTGATTTTCCATACGGCCCATGCAGAATCCTGCAGCTTCCTTCGCAGCCCCAAAAACACAGCTGAGAGCATCACGGTTCCCAAAGTTTTGCTCCTAAGATCTTTGCCCAAGTACACACAGTTTTTAAAAAGGGACAAACATAGTATGCATTGTTGATACTATCATTTGTGCTCTAACATCTATCCACAAACATGGAAAAAAACATATCCAAAGGCCAAGTTTTGTCGATCCCAAGCTCATATGCTCCATGGTGCTGGTTTTTACCTACAAAACTGGATTTTTTGTTCGGGCAAATGTTGGAAAATGTTCCAGCACCAGCACCATGGAGCATTTGGCAGGACATGATATGTAGATATATATATATATAAATCATATAAATATATATCTTGTATATAAATAAACATAACCTATATATATATATATATTAATTATATGCCAGTAGTACCGCACAAGTTTTGTCAACCCCAAATTCCAAATCCTCCAAAAATCGAGGCACACGGCCACGGAAATCTTGGGTCCCATTGGGCCGATGCCTGGCACTGGAAACACAGGTCACAGGGTCCCGGAGAGTTGTAGAAGTTCCAACAAAAAAAATGACATTTAAAACCATGACTATTTTAAAACCATGGCTATGTCTTGCTAATATATATATATATATATATCTAAGAATCTAAGTCATGATTAAAATTTTCACCATATATGCAAAGAGTGTGTCTAAATATCCGGGGTAGCAGTCCCACTTTCTAACATCCCAGGAATCTTGCATTTTCAATATGCAATTCGGGGTACTATTTGCAATCGAATTTAGATGAAACGCCTCTATTTTCTCACTGAAGCAGGTCGGAAATATTGTCGTCTGCCACCGGGATCAGGGGACCACGGGATGGCGGGATCGACGCACCAGCGCCTCGTTTCTCCTGTCGATGAAGGGCCTGGCGCCAGCGGCAAGGAAACCTCCTCTGCTGTGGTTCTGGCTTCAGGCCCCAAAGTAGGAAAAAATGGCAAACAAAATGATAGTATAAACATTGCAACAATCATCTGGAACAAATATTCCAAAAACCAACATAATCCAAAATAGTGCGCTGAAGGTTTTGATATTTGGCCTCGATGTTCACTTGTTGAGACGTCCTGAAACGTCCCATTGGGGAAGGTTTCCAGTATCCGACCCCTTAGCTCAGAAAATGATGGATACCCATAGATGCCCAATATTCATCAATATTCATCAATATTCATCAATATTCATTAATATTCATCAATATTCATCACTATCCCATAAATGACTCAAGTTTGTAGGTTCTCGGCGTAGCCCGTTCTTTGCAAAAAATGTGGATGAATTGCAAAATAAAACGCACACAAAAAAATGACATGATTGAGTTTTGTGGCGGTTCCCTTAACTAACCATTGAGTCGGTTAGAAGGGTCGCCAGAATTTGCCTCACAAAAGGTGGTTTAAAAACAGTGAAAAACGTCTGTAACATATATATATATATATATACATACACCAAATCAGCTAGTAGCTGATTCATGCTGATGAGATAACCTCTTATAATAAGCGCGTATTTTGAGATATTTGATATGAAGGTGTTTCAACCTACCAAGCAGTTGACAAACTCCACGGCCCGGCCTTTCGGAATTGCGCCTTGGCATGTTGCAGCCACCATCCGAAATTCCTGCCAAGAACGGATGGATCATGATGGATCTACTAAACAAATTTCCGGGCAAATATGATTTCTTGGGGAATTACCATCTGGTTATTTAACATAGCCATGGAAAATCGCCATTTTAATAGGTAAACCATCTATAAGTGGGCCATTTTCCATGGCTATATTAAATTACCAGAGGGTATGTGAAAAAAAACAGAATCTTTCGCAATCCCCAAGTGCTGGTGCTGGAATATTTACCAACATTGCCTTAAGCCTTAGTGAAGCAATTAGCATCAATTAGCCCTTGTATTGGACATAGACATAGAGTATCTTCTCACCATAACAGGTATATAGCTATCGCTTATCCCCAAGGAATATGGCAGCCATTGGTCACAAGTCCAGGTCCTGCATAGAAATCGTAGCAAACTTTGTTTTCCAGTTTGGATACTTTCCGGGTTTCATAAACCAACCCATGAATTTAAAAGTGCCTGTCCAAAGGTTCAAGCAAGCTGCCATGCGACTGTTCCAATCCCACCAGCTGTCTGTCAATGCTCTGAGATCTACACATTTGCTGAGTTTTGGTTTTGGACATGTTGTGTCCCTGCACATTTCTCGTTCCTTCCGTTTCCCGGATCATATCTTCGCTTTCTTGATGGGGTGTGCCTCCAAATTTGCTGCAAAAAGTAATCCGCATAATTTTGTGCCGCCATTACATGAGTTCATCTGATTGAGTGATGCTTGCATTCAAATTAAATGGCTTAAGGCTTACGCCTACGCTGTCTTCGCCCAGTTTCTTAGCTTGGAGGTAACCGCGTTGTTCGAGAATAGAAATAGAAAGGAATAGTTACCAACATTTACTGCCAAAACGACCCAGTCATGTAGCTAAGTAGTTCATACATGGAGCATATATATATATTATGATATTATATATATATATCATGGGAGTCTTCATGGATTCGTGGAATTCATATAGGATTTATCCAACAGACATGGGGACTGACAACGGGATGGAAAATGATTTCAGCAAGAAACATGGTGGTACAATATGGCATCCTGTATGTTCATACTTGACCAGAACGAAGGCTGTAAATCCACCCAACTTGGGATACCACAAGATCAGGTGGTGCTCGGTTGGTTAGCTAAGTTCAAAGGCTAAGTAGGAATTTTGGTGATGAAATAACTGATGAGGTAACATAAACGTAGAAACATAACCAGAAGGCACTACTTTGTAGGGAAAAGACTATTCTCAACCCACCCATCCACGGTCCTGTGCTGGCAAAGCCGAGTGATAATGAGGTGATGTCGCCCTGAATGCCTCCGCGTCCCAACGGTGGACATGTCCGGTGAGAAATGGGCTTGTGAAAAGGGCTCATAAAAGCGAGCTGGCTACATGAGTTGTTTTTGTTTGATCTGGTTTGTACGGTAATGGTTAAACTATGTTAAACTTGGAGCCACTCAGAAACTAGCCTCGATCAATCCTAATCAAAGCAGCTCCTTTGGTCCTACTCGGTGACCGTCTTCGGTCTTCATGGGGACTTGGATAAGGTAAAGGTAAAGTATCGGCTGAACATCAAACAACACCAACACCAAACCAAATCGGCAGTTTTGTCAAAACGTAAAGAACATAGATAAAGGGGGGGAAGAACATAGATAAAGGATGGGGGCCCATACTAGTTATAGTTAAGTTGGTTATGATTTTAGTTGGATGCGTTTATAACCCACCAAACATAACTGGTGGTCACCACCTTGTTGTAAGTTTGACTCCTGAAACAAGGTGAAACCAAACATCCTTCAAACACTTCGCTAGTGATGCAAGATACAGAGTGTTTCGGGGGTTCTGAGATCTCTGCATGGCCAAACATCCAGTAAATAACAACCTATAAGGCCAAAGTTGACTGCACATGGACATTTGCCGAGTTAGCAAGTGTTTCATAACCATTGCAAAGCATAATGTGACTACTATATATCCCTATAATTATATATACCATCTGGTTATTTAGCAGTTCGCCATGGAAAACCCACCCATTTTTAAGTTCGGTCAACCATCGAACTTTCTATTAAGGCCATGGCTTAACCATGGCGAACTGTGAATGTCATAGCCAGAGGGTTTTGACCCCAGTTGGGCCGAGCAGTCATGACAATCCCCGAGAAAAATTAAATAGATTTTCCCCCCTTTTTTAAATCTGGTTGGTGGTTGACCTACCCCTCTGAAAAATGATGGAGTCCGTCAGTTGGGATGATGACATTCCCAATATATGGAACAATAAAAGCCATGTTCCAAACCACCAACCAGAAATCATCAACCGGCAGCTGCCAGAGCAGTTAATCCAATCTCCCTCATATCAGTCATACCCCTCTAAAAGTGCAGCCCCCCATATCAATAGATGAATACATGTCACCAGGGTTTTCATATTGTGGTGAAATTATTGTGGCTTTTATGGGTCATACCCTCTGGTAATCAAACATGGAAATGCAGCATCGTTCGTCTAGTTCAATGATTTCTCATGATTTCCCATTGAAATATCCGTGTGGTTCGGGCAGCCTGCCATGGTTTATGAGGGATTTTCCAACTTACAGATCCAATCCACTTCTCTTATCCCTACCCTCCAGTAAACTAACAGAGATATGGAAAATCTACTAGTCACTAGTTGATCATACCTAAAGAAACACATGGATTTCCATGGCTACGTTAGTTTACGAGAGGGTAAATGCTACCGGGAGATAATTCCTGTTGCACACGCCTGGTCAGGAGAGCTGCATCAGGGTCTGGAAACCTCGCTGGGTCTGGCTGGACTCTCCTGTCTGATCTATCAAGATGCTATCGACATGATCTGTCATGATCGATTTATCAATCTCTATCTATATATAATATCAAAATGGTTCACATATTATTTATATATACATGCATACATACAGTCCAGCTACACATGATTATGCTTGCTCTTACTATGCATTGATCTAGATGATCCACCTATATTTTTTCTGGCTAAATGATCGAAGCTGTATGTATTTACATATAGATATAGCATATATGTATATACATCTAAATGATTGAAAAACATTGCATATCTAAATGAGCTCGCTATGTATATGTATATACACACATATTTACGATGTAAATTATCTAGCTACCTCTCTCTCCATATACATATATAAATATATAAAACTAAATATATCTATATATACACATATTCGTATATATCTAAATATATATTATATACTGCACAATTATTAATATGTATAATATATACATATGTATATATATATACATATGTAAATATATATATATATACATATGTATATATATATATACATATGTAAATATATATATATATTTACATATGTAATATATATGTACACATATGTATATATAGCCTCGTCCCTGCTCTTGGAACCGCGCAAACCTGAATTCGGTTGGTAAAACTTGTCCATTCCGTGAAGAAATTTAGTCGCGGAATTGACAAGTTTCATTAGGGTCATCATCATCATCATCATCACCACCACATCATCATCATCAGCATCATCATCATCACATCATCATCATCAGCATTAGTATGAACATGAATTAAAATATAAATTAAAATAATATATATATATATACATCAATGAAAATGCTGAAAATGTTTAAATATCCCAAAAAATGTCTGTAAATATATTGAATCCCAGCCCTGGTGTGCGTAGCATCAACTCCTTCTGCAAGTTCACATGAACGTTAACATCCCACCCCACCAAACCCCACCCCGCGTGTGCGTAGCATCAACTACTTCTGCAAGTTCACATGAACATTAACATCCCACCCCACCCCTCCCCCACCTCGCGTGTGCGTAGCATCAACTACTTCTGCAAGTTCACATGAACATTAACATCCCACCCACCCCTCCCCACCTCGCGTGTGCGTAGCATCAACTACTTCTGCAAGTTCACATGAACGTTAACATCCCACCCAACCCCCCCCCCACCCCGCGTGTGCGTAGCATCAACTACTTCTGCAAGTTCACATGAACGTTAATTCACATGAACGTTAACACCCACTTTAATTCATGAACCCCCCCCCCCCCCCCCCCCCGTCGTATGTGGTTCCAGGAGCAGGGACGAGCCTATATATACACATAATCATATACACATATGTATATATATATATACACATGTATATACACATAAGTATATATATATATATAAACAGGTGCATATATATATATACATAGAATAAATATGTATAAAAATAAATGTATAATATATATATATATACACACTGATCCAAATTATCTAAGTATCTGATCATGTATGTATATATATATATATATATATGAGCAAAGTGACGCTAAACAAATGACCGTTCGAATCGCAGCATCCGCATCCGCATCCAAGGCGCATCCGGGCGTCCAAAATCACATCGGAGGGAAATTTCCTGACGCCATGGACGATGTATTGGGTTTCCATTTTCAACCATCAAAAAAGGGGATTAACCATGAACAATATATGGTACAATGGGCATACAGTGGGAATATCATGGGGAAAATGATGATGTCATGTTTACCCTCTGGCGATTTGTTACATAGCTATGGTATAGATGACCCATTTACAGATGATGTACCTAAAAATGGTAATTTTCCAGTTCGCTATGTTAAAAAACCACAGTGTATCTATGTTTTTTTAAACCAAAAATGAGCCCAGAAAAAATACCTACAAGTTGCCCCCTAGTTATGTTTGGTTGGTAACACAATCTAATGTCATGGGTCTCTACGAGTAGCTATTTGTTCATATGTAACCACCATGAACTTTATGGTTAACCAGTTCAAAAGCAACTTAGCCAAGATAAATCAACTATATCAACTATAATTCCCCATATGTATTCGGGAAATCCCCAGCTTAGTGATTCCGAAAACTGTGGCAGCAACTTTTAACTTTAGAGGGATCATCGACCCCACACCCATAAATTTGGTGTTTTTAAACATGTTCGCCCCAGCCAGGACGTTCGACCACCACTTATCCTCATAAGGAAAACAACAATCCGCCCACCTCCTCGGGAATTATTGAATGGGATGGCATATATACATGTATATACATACATACATGATCATACATGTTTGCCTACATAGACATACAGAGGTACGCAACCCTTCCACAAGTGTAGGGTGGTCGAACGTCAGGGTTGCAGCCAACATGCTTAAACTGCTGAAATTCACTTTCTTGTATTCCCTTATATCAATCCATTGGCTTCTGGTTCGGCCATGCTCATGCGCACTGTTCTATAGTTCTGGAATGGGCCACCCAGTTGTTTGTGTCGGTTTACGTTATAGCCTAGTTATAACCCAACTTACATAAGGGGCCCATTCCTGTAACCCTGATAGAAATGATGTTGTTCGCTGGGTATCCAAGATTAGCCATGGCGGGCAAGAGATCCAAAATTAGGACTGTCGGAGTGTTTTGAGGTATGGAGCTGAACTGTATTTCTCTAATTCAACTGCCTATTCAGAGAATGCAGTTGCTGAATTATTCAATAATTTCTTAATCACCAAGCGCTCCATAGTGCTGGAATATTTACCCCCAAAAATGACCCAGTCAAGAGCAATACACCAACACCATGACATCATGGAACATGTGGGATTGCTACATATCACATATCTCCTTGTTCCCTCAATATCCCCATGAAATCACCAGTATGTATATCCCCAATATGAGTAATTTCATCCTCCTGTTTTGTGTTGGTTCAAACACCTCTGCCGTGTTTACTGGTTTCAACAAAGTGTCTGAATGGACCTGCACCCACATCAAGCCCCCAGGCCAAGAAGATCAGCTGCAGATTTGCCCAAGAAATCTGCACGTCTCTGGACGATGAAAGACTCCACAGCACGTAGCGTAGAATCTGGATATGTCATGAAAATCCCATTCGGGATACATGCCGTTGGCCCCAAGAAATTAGGGTAGCCACGCATGAAAAAAAGCATTCGCCGCACAGTTCCCTGTCGGACAACGCTGAACTGGCGTTTTATTACAACGTGATGTCATGCACCTAAACCATCCTAAACCACCATTGGAAATCACAATTGGATCCACATTTGGGGGTTTTCAAAGTCATGGGGTGCGCCAAATCATGGTCCTCTTTGTGTTAAAACCTTCGGTGACTTGGGGATCCCCCATTTAAGGAAACCTTGCTATTATGACATGTCTATAGTCTATGGTTAATGACATGTCTATACTTGGCTTCATGCTGATGTTTGATGGGTTTGTAACTACCCCCTCACCATCGTCATTTCAGGAAACCTCCATATTAATGGGATCAAAACATATATGAGATTAATTCTACTAAATCTACTCAATATATATATATATTATATATATATATATACATATTATATATATATACATTATATATACATATTATATATATATATATGTATACATACGGGATTGATTATACTAACCATATAGATACAGGAGTAATATCCCATCTTACACGGGTCTATAACATGTTATAACCATATATAGTCCACAAATAATCCATTTCAATTTCATAACCGTATATAATCCATATATAATCCATATATAATCCATATATAATCCAAATATAATCCATATGTAATCCATTTTTAATCCATATGTAATCCATATATAATCTATTTTTAATCCATTTTTAATCCATATATATAATCCATATATATATATATGACAACTCCATTTCGAACGGTTAAAAATCCCACGTGCCATTTAAATTTTCACACGGTCTGCCTCCGTTGCAGAGCTTCGGCGATCTCAGCTTCAGGGATGTTGGCGCCCGCACCACCACCTCGCCAGGGATAGGAATTGCAGCAACCGAAACGGTGGGTTGACATGGAAAATTAGGAACAAATCAGGAATTAACAAGGAAACATGGTGATTTAGTGGGATCTAACAATGACAAATTGGGCCTCTGGTAAGTTAACATAGCTATCAAACATGACTAATTGTGTTTTTTCTCGCATATTAAAAGCAGCGATGTTTATGATGTTTATTGATTTCAACAGCTAATGCTAAATTGCAATATGGAAGTTATTAGGCACCATAACATAAGTGCGTTTACACCAAAAATAATACCGTTTAAGCATCAAAGTTATGGATAAAGCTAGTGCACATAGTGAGAGCTTGTATGGGATATAAGTATATATAACCAACAAAATGATATGTCTAAAGTCGATCCTCGATCAAGAACATTGGACCATCAATCATGGGTGGAACCAACAAATGATAATTATATAGCTGAATAAGCAAAAGTCACAAACTGGTTTCGAGCCGTTTTCAAAGACATATTCCCAAATGAACATGCAACAATTGAGTTATATTATTAAGCTGGTGGAAGGGACATTTTATTTTAAATCAGTTAATGTGTAACTAACATCTTATCTTATCTTGTGAGCATCTTAATTTTAGGTAAAGGTTTAAAATGAACATCTTATCTTATTTAATTGAATTATCTTATTAAGTCGAAGTCCAAATCCGGCAGAAAAATGTTGACTGAAAATCCTGAGGTGCCATGTCATGTATGCTGCTTTCAATCGCCCCATATTCCCACGTTCGGTGGTAGCCCCATGTTCGCAGTTGCGATCAAGAGCCTCCAGTAACGATTGGAATATCTACCATCAACATCCATCAACCCACCCTTTTTTGCCCTGTCAACTAGCCTAACGTACAAAAACTGCGGGAGCAGGCTGTAGTTTTTCTAGCTCGACTGGTTAATAACTGGCTTATGTAGAAGTGGCTATTTTCATAGGGAATATGGAAAGCCATAGCTCCAAGCCGCTACCTCGATTTACCAATGGATAGCCTTAAAGAACTGGATTTAACCCTCTGGTAATTTAACATAGCTATGGAAAATCCCAATTTTTAATGGGAAAATTCACTATAAATGGCCATTTTTTAATAGCTATGTTAAATTACCAGAGGGTAACACACATTGGATGTAATACTGTGGATGGAAGAAATCATAAGAAATTCTGCACGATCTTGGATGCTTGAAACGCTAAAAAAGATGTCGCAGCCATCCATAGTATGGAATGAACTTCTGTATGTCCGTTCCATCGCGGGTTTCTTAAAATGGTGGATCCCCAAAACGATCGGTCTGAAATGGTTTTGATGAACTAAAATGATTGGATGATTTGGGGGTACTCCCATGACTTAGGACACCTCCATTCATAGAGTTCATCAAAATCATCAAGTTATGTCTGTTGGCTTTGTTTCACCCCATGAACACAATATAGTCATGTATATATATATACATGTACACATATACATATACATATCCTCCATATTAAACCATATATGTGTGTATATATATATATATATCACATACATATCCTCCAGATTAAACCATGTGTACATATAAATATATACCTATAATTTAATCATATACATATCCTCCATATTATATCACACCACATACATATATATATATATATATATATTGTAATCATATATATATATATACATATCCTCCATATTAAACCATGTATATATATATATATCATGGTTATATCCATGCGAGTTCTATCCATCTTAGTTCTCCCCTTTGAAGCAACAACAAACGCCCAAACGCCCTTCTCAGCTGCAGGCCCAGCTCATGACATCGATCTGCCAACCTCAACGGTGGAGGAAATTTCAGGGCAAATCCTGGGAATCCCCAAATCCTTACAGAACATACACCAAGATGTGGAAAAGCCACCAGTCTGGTTGATGTGGAAAAACCGTGGAAATGGCAAGGGATGTTGATGATGTTGCATCTTTTTGGAAAATTTGAAGATCTTTGTGAAACACAAATGTTGTTCTCAATGTTCTCAGTTTTGCCCAAACATCTGTGTTTTTTTTCTTAATCCCATCTAAACATTCATGGAGTATCGCATGAATTCCATGCGTTAACAACAAGTTCCGAACCATGGCCTAGGGGTCGATCAAAGGTTTGAAATGGTTGGTTTATTCATGGATCCGAACATAACACATGGGATGATTCAGGTCCATTTCTGAACCCCCCCATCTTCTGTGTGAAAATGGGGATCTCGCCTTTTTATTTTTGTGCAATCATTGTCATCATTGTCATCATTGTTCAATGCAAGTGATTTCGATTTGCTAACGAAGCAGGCTACGGTATCCTCCTCTTTTTGCAGAGAGATTCTACGGAGATCAGTTTGAGGGAGAAGCAAACATGAACAGCCAATGAGAAAACAACAGGACCCAACAACTTTGCTGTTGATGTGAAGTTGCTCCAAGCCAATCATGCTGCTGACAGATCATTCCTTGGAGTGTCATAGTCCATCCTGGAACAAATCTGAACAAGGAACCCAAGAAAACTCTTTAGACAATGATTTGCCATGGTTGCAAATGGGTTTCTATGAAACCAGTGTACCCATGTGTACCCCAAAATCCAATGGTTTAACACTTAATTGTCCAACTATAGTAGTAAAGCTGCATGTGTTTTTTGTTTTAGATGTTTTGGTGAATCCCACATGTTTGGACAAAGCCAAATATCAGGTCGGTGATCTATTCCCTGATATTCTCCTGACATTCCGCAAACATACCCATTATTCAGTGATTCTGTTCTTATCTTTCCTGGTTAAGGCAGGTGTTGAGCCCTCATTTTGGCAGGAAAGTGCATCGAAGAGCGAAATCTTGGCTATCCAATCTCGATGTGCGGGATGATTCCCGTGCTGTGACATATGAACCTTCAAAATGGTCATATGAATAGCGGACCCGATCGCTAAAAACTGAAGATTTCTGCGTTGACTTTGAGGCGACTCATGCAAAACAGGGGTATCGCTATGGGGTCGTCAGCGGTTGTGAAGGCTTTGCACAGCCCACAGCAAGGCCAAGGCGAAGGAAAACTAAATTATAGTACAATAATTTTGTCGGTTACCGATATAGGAACATGATAAATCTATCATCCAGGCCCGATGTTTGGGGTTCCACACTTTCTTTTCGAGGGGTGTACAGTTTTTGGTGCACAGAAATCAGCAGGATCCAGGTCACTTTGACCGGCCCGGTCACACTCAAATGGTCGCCAAGTCACTCTCCGTCCAAGCATTCAAGACCAAAGGTGGCCTAAGAGTCGGTCGTGAAGATCGCTGGTTTTTCTGTGTCCCAAATTAAATTGTTAGCTACCTGTTGGATTCATACTGCTGAAAGCTACCTATAGTTGCCCATCCGGTGTCATCAAACGTGGCTAGATGGAAAGTCCCCGAACGATTGCTGGAGGGTAGATGGGGCCATGGGGTCATAAACCAACCTCTTTGCTAGAAAACTGCGGGGAAACACCTTGTGTGGTGTTAAGCTTTAGATAATAAGAATGGGACTGAACTAACATCTTGTTGAACCCAGTTCCATCTCCCTGTGTAACCCAAAAAGAACACATGCTAACAGGAAACCAAACAAATCACTTCGGAGGCGGGAATAAACACTATGAATATCATTCTTATGAATACCATTATCCTTGTTATCGTTAGATCACTAGTATCATAAGGTGTATGTGTGTACATGTATATATATATACACATATTATTAATCATATTGTGTATACCATGAAAATTATGTGTTTTTATTATTGTCATTAGTACCTGTACCAAATAAACATGCACATATATATATATATATATATTATAGTATTGTGACCATTGTTATTGAATGTCAATCAAATGCTATCGCATTGACCTGCAAGTTCAGAATCTGTCTGTGGGAAAATCATCGATTTCGTTATTCACCCCCAAGGACGCTCCCATACTTGGAGAATCATCCCACTCAGTAACTGTTTGGCAAATCTTGATAACCATTAATCAGTACCCTAAGTGCCCTAAGTCAGTTGGGTTCTCCCATTTTTAGAAAGCCAGTTATAATAAGTTGGTTTGTTTCACATCTGACCATATACTGTATACATATGTATATATATATATATAAATATACGCACCGGAAAGCGACAACGTTAACGTAGCTAACATAAATTGAGGACACTATTCCACCGCAGAAAATCTCTTCAGCCTCAATTGTTGATGTTGATGTACCCCATGCTATCCCCTACGGTATCCCCATTTGTAACTGCGAAACGGTGAGCTACTAAGTATGGGTGTGTTCACCCATGTTGAGTTTATATATACGTATATATAATTAATGTGTATATATATATAATTATAGTTATAAGTTATAATTATAATAGGACTATTTAAATATATATATATACATTTAATATTATATATAAATATATATAAATATATGAAACCCAGCAAGGTTCTTCCGTTATCCCATAAGTTCCCCTCACCAAGGCGCCACCAGAACAGAGCCTGAGCCAACAAGGTCCTGCAGGACGTCTTGGGCATCTTGGGTGGACAAAATCCACCAGTTTCCCATTTTGGTGATACCCTCTGGTTATGTCAAAATTGCTATTGAAAATGGCCATTAATAGTGGATTTTCCCATCAAAAATGGTGATTTTCGATAGCTATGTTAGTTTACCAGAGGGTATCCGGTGATATGGCTATGGATCAATACCTATGGACCTATTAATACCATTTTTAGTGGGTTATTCACATCCATAAATCCCAGCTATTTTGATGTGAACAAAAAAGGGGTTTCCATGGGTTTTGACACACTGCCATATCCCATTTTGGATCATTACATCCCATGACGGATCCTAACGGTGCTGGTATATTAATGCTAACATAAAGGGGGTATATTGATGGGATCCATGGCACACTATATATAGCAGCACCATGGATACTACTGGGTATTGGCTATGACTATTGGTTTAATCACTTAAAAAAAACACTATTGGTTTAATCACCATTAATAACCATTACCCTCTGGTAAACATAAAAAAACTATTGAGCATGGCCAATTTGTAGTTAATTGACCCATTAAAAATAGTGATTTTCCATAGTTTTTTAAACCCTCTGGTAATGGAAAACATTCAATGGTGGATTTTACTATAAATGGCATCGTCAATAGCTTTTCAAAAACTATGTTCAATCAACTTTGTTCATGGGCATCTTCGAGGGAATCTGACATATCTAAACAAACAATTCTGGACAATGGCCCATTTATAGTTGATTTACCTATTCAAGATGGTGATTTTCCAGTTCGCTATGTAAATGTTTGCCGGTTTCTAACTATTGGGATTTCTATGAAGCACTATAAATAATGGGATTGTAGAGGAATAAACCATCAACCAACTGGTGCAAGATTTCTTCCATCTACAGTATGTCGATATCTTATGGAATTTTACTGGAATAATGAAACTATGTAATTGAATATAATATATATATATAGAGTCTAGTATACATTATTTGCCCCCTAGCCTGACCAGTACATAGAATACTTGACAACCATATACCACAACAACACATGCTATGGATAAGACATGAGAAGACCAAGGTGTGCCCCCGAGTAATGTCTAACCAAATGACCCAAATGTACGAAAACCTCAAATCAAAATATTCTGTTTGGTGGTGCAATAACCATCTTGAAACATATGAAAGTCAATGGGAAATATTATCCCATATATTATGGAAAATAAAAAATGTTTGAAACCACCAACCAGTATTAGTCAATTGGAATTACCATTCCCAATATATTGAAAATAAAAACTGTTCCAAACCACCAACCAGATTATATCCCCATCTATTTGTTCAGTCTCAATGAAATATGTCCGTTGAATCTGACTCCACTTTCTCTTCATCTGGAGAACTTCATCCTGAGATGACTATACTTCACCCAGATCGTCCCTATCACTATGTATATATAACTTTATAATATACTGTAAATATATGTATATGTTATGTATATTTTTTTGTATGGAATTCATGGAAATTTACTGGGATTTGAAGCATCAAACATAGGCTAAAACCGGGATGAAATTTCCTCCACAATGGTGGCTGATGTTTCACATCTTGGGCTCTGAGACTTGGCCACGTAAAACGCCACATCGCAACGGCCACATCGCAACATAAAGCCGGATCCAAACTGATACTGTTACCCTCTGGTAAACTAACATAGCTATGGAAAATTACCATTTATAATAGGTAGATCAACTATAAATGGGCCAATTTCCATAGCTATGTTAAATTACCAGAGGGTAACCATCCCTTTAATCCAGAATGGTAAAATCAAATGTATTCCATTTATCATCATTTATCCACATATCATCAAATCAGAATCTATCTTCCGTCCATCCTATTATCTCGTTGATTTCAATTCATCTCATAGAATCTCATATATCTCTATTAGACTCTATGCTAATGATATAAATCTATACAAATCTATTCCTAGATGCTCCATGCTGCTGGAATATTTACCTACATTTACCCCAAAACTGGCCCAGTCATGTAGGAAAATGTTCAGCAACATGGAGCATCCGGGATGGCTAAGCCATGAAAATCCCTCCATCTCCCCATCGGCACGTAGCCGGACCTCCACCGTGGCTTTCAGCGCTGCCGGCACCGGCGTGCCTTGGTATTTGGGGAGATCACCGAGGGAGCACTGAGGATTTGACCAACCAAAACGATGCAGTTATGGCCATGGCTATTAGTGAAACAACTGGTGATTTCTATGGGATTAGTACATGCATGTACATTCCATAAATTGGCTTTTCTTAGTACTTGCAACTGCTATGTCAGGCCATAACTATGGGCATAACTGGTGGATAGAGCGTAGCTGGGGCCTCACCAAGGCATACAAAAAAGGACTAATAGGGATTATTTTATTGATGTTTGGAAATATGTAGTCTTAAACAGATTTAATAGATGTTAATAGATGTGAATAGAGGGCTTATGGATTGTTATTACAAATCTAATAGGTTTAACAGATGTAATGTTATTCAGGGAGAAGACATCGTTTAACTATAAAGAATATATGGGTTATATAGAAGTTCTACTGATATAAAAAGAATTACAATAGAAGTTATACAGATGGAGATATACTGAAAAAATGTGTTGATTGGTAACTTAAGCCCAGTATGGTTTTATATATTCTAGGGTATTTGTCCCCATTGTTTTTCTAAACCCACCATGGGGATAAATGCAATGATTCTACTAATGCGATTCTAGAATCTACCGATGGAGAAAACACTGCGATAACAACAGTATTTAACCATCAACAATGACTTATATAGGCAGTATAATGGCGATGTTTGATGTTAACATGTGGCTCTGATCATCTATCCTTATAATGATAATCCACACTAAAAATGGGTTTACAATAGTGTATACATACACATATCACAGTGGAATTATTGATTACCATCCTAGAATTTTGAACATTGTTACCAGAACATTGTTACCATCATTCCGTGGAATCCTACGAGAGTCTCAGTTGGAAAATGAGAATTCCCAATAGCCTCCGGTGTCATCAAACGTGGCAATGGAAATGAGACCCTCTGGTAACATAGCTATTGAAAATGGCACCTAGAAATAGTTGATTTACCTACCTATAATAGGGATGGTGATTTTCAGCTATGTTACCACGTTGAGGGACATGATTTTCCTGCCCCGTTGGGATTTTCCAGCTGCGCTGGTGATGTTTAACCCCCAAGAATTGGTCCGACATGGTTACTGGCTGGTGGTATACATTGGTATACCTACCCCTCTGAAAAATCTGAGTTCGCCAGTTGGGATGATTCTTCCTAATAAATGGAAAAATCAAACATGTTTTCAAACCACCAACCAGGTTTAATTCTCAAACCTCCCCATGTCGTGATAAGAACCACATGGTCTGCATTTTCAGCAAACGCACAGTCCTTTGCTTGCTCCGCGGCACATTTCGCCAGCAAGGAGCGCGGTTCCGGTGCTTCCGGTGTTTTACACCCAACATTGGACCACAAAAAAACGATGTCACTACTTCGATGGGCCATGACAGTCGTAAAATTGGCGTGTCAATTGTTTAGTCATATATATATATTGGTGCATTATATATAAAATCGTAATAATTTATTAGATCAAATTATATCGTTGATGTTATTTGAATTATAGTGTATACATGTTAGATTGTATTGTATATCATACGATATATATTATATACATATATATATTACACTGGCTGCAGTTTCTTTGAACTCTGAACAAATACTCTGAACAACTAAAATATGCACATGATTTGTGAAAAACATTGGCTAAAGAACATATGTAAAATCCATGAAATTCCAAAAGCCTGCACTAGATGCATCTTGTAAAACCTGTCTTCAATTCTGGGGATCCATGCTGGAAAAAGTAGGCAAGCCACATGAGATCAATGCGTATCTATATTTTAAAGATTTTTAAAGCATATACGCCAGTGCATGGGCGTCTATCCCGTTTTTTTCATGGTATATTATGTGATCGTAGCATTTTTGTTGAGCCCATCACCACGTGCCACGACTTTCACGACGCCATGATCCCTGACGCCATGTGACGCCTCGCTACGCTTCACTTCTTGATCCACGTCTCACCGTGTTTCCAGCGAATTCTGGGCTGCGCATCCACAGAAACCTCGCCCGAAAGAAGCCTCACAGGTTCCAGGCGAAAAATAAGCTGGATCAATTATGATTCATGATGGTGATTAATTTATATATAGAATATTATATATGTTGGATCTTGGACTCATAGATGTGGTTCCTGCGGGCCTGTGGCTTCAAAATCTTCAAGGTCCCGGTTGGGCTTGACTTAGGACATCCAAGCGCAGAAATGGGGGTCTCCTAACATGGGACCTCAAAAATCATGATAAAACTCTCATTTGGAACTGAGAAATACCAATGGTTTTGGAGGACCCAACGTTGGAGAAACACGGAAATCTGTCAAGAGTCAAGCCACAATACACATTCGAAACGGTAACGTTGCCCATAAAAAAACAGTTTTCATGTTCGCTTCGATGACCCCAAATCTCCCTTTGATCTCCATTTTAAAAGGTCAAACAATTTCGACGTGTCCAACCCAACACATGTCTGCTTCTGTCAGGGTGTTGCTAGGTTTTGTTGCTAGGTTTCCAATGTTTGTTGGTTTTGTTCGAGGGAACACCGAAAGGAAACCAGGGCTTTTCTACCATTTTAAGCTTAGACTACGGGATATTTGCAAATTCACCCCTTCAGGCCCTGCAGTCCTGAACCCAAAAAATAGCACCCTGGTTTCAGACGAAAATAGCTGGTAGTTGTGGATGTAGATGGTCATCCCAAGAAATTGCTAAGTATTGGCCCGTTCGAAAAGTTTGGAATTCGAAGAGTAGGTTTTTCCTTCCCCCCAGCTGGCCTGTTTTTTCTTGGTGCTCAACAGTGCTCAACCAACATCTCAACAAACCATGTGGGGGGGTAGCATGCCCATATGCTCTATGTATGGTATATTCACCTACAAAACTGGGTATAATTTCTAGGGCAAATGTTGGGATTCATCTTCCAGCACCATGGAGCATATGGGGGCAAACCGTCCATAGTCGTTGTGCCAAGCATCTGCCCGTTCATGCGCAAAGACACCGCCGAGCCCTCCTCGATTCGGAGGTAGTGCAGAGTATCCTGGCCGAGTGTTGGATGTACTTGGAGCCAGGGCAATCGCAAGTGGATCATCCCAGGCATCCCAGGCATTCATGTAGATATGTTAGTTCCCAGCACCAATTTTAGCACCAATATTACCCATAAACACCCATAAACATCCATAAGCCTGTTCTTCTAAACGACCGTTAAATTTACGTGCTTCCAGGTAAGGACGTTAATTTGTACTCAACGACTATAATTACTTTTTTGATCAGGGGTCGAAAGTGGTCGGAAAAAACCGTAGACAAACCGTGGACAAACCGTAGACAAACAGTAGAAAGAACATTTATTTCTGTAGAACGGACATTTATTTCCGTAGAACGACTATTAATTTCCGTAGAACCCAGGTAGCCAAAAACGCTTGAACATTGGGTTTACAATCTGCAGACTAGATTTTGAATCAATAGCAAATAATAGTCTTTATCCAATTAATAACCTTTGGCACCACGCACGTTAATTTTTCGTGCTTCGGAAGTATAGGGTATAATATATTTAGAAATTGTGTAAATTGAGTGGGAGATTCTCCCCAGTCCAAGAATATGGGTGATTTGAATTTTGTTGTTCGTTTGCCAAGCTGAATAATTATCCAGTTTTTTTTTGTGTTGCGGGAAACGTTAATGCCATCCACTGACCGATCACTCACTTGAGTCATGAGCAAATCCAGTTGTATCCTCACTTTCCCATAGGATCCATGTATGATATATATGGTAACATGTACCATCAATATACCCCCAATGTTAGCATATATACCATACATGGATCCTGTGGGTTTGAGATATGGGCGAAATTTATCTCATTTTTGTATATGTTTGTTCGCCCATCACAAGACTCTGTGCCATGTGATGCCAGCATGAACAAAGCCGTCATGGATGGTAAGCAAAATTAAAAGCTCAAACAATCGGATCTCCCCAGCTATATGGTTCTTTATCTGGTACCAAAAGCAATCCTCCCTTCGGCCTTCAAGCTGGTTTCGGGATCAAAGTAGATCTCCAAATTCCAAATGTCGCAAATGGGTCTCTCATTGCTTTGTAGAAACCTGAAACTGGGCGACATTGCCGTGACTGACCATGATTGAATCATGAGTTCTTATATCTTGTCAAAGGACGTTAAGCCATGTCACTCAAAACTCAGGAAGTAATCAAACCTGCTGACACATTGCAAATAGATGCAAATAGACTCTCACATCACCATGATAAACCTTATCAGAAACACCACTCCCCTGGGGGGTTGGGGTCCTGTTCAAGGTGGCTTTGCCGGTGGTACCCTGGGCAGAAAGTTGAGGGGCTTTAGGCCATCCCAAGTGTATCCAAGTGAAAGTTTCTGCTATGATGAGGTTTACCAGATTCTTTAAACAAAGGAAACCCATCATACAGTATCATCATCAATTCAAACACAAATTGAGAACCAACCTGTATCACCACTATTGAGCCAGAGACCGTGTTCCATTCATCTTCAAAGTCACCATATCCTAATTGAATATATTTGATATGGTTCAAAAAGCAAGACAAACATGTAACAAATGCAACATATATGATGAATCAAGCACAGAACCAGGGTTTACGAAACGAGTCCAAGTCACCATTTTCCATTCAACACCTTCACCAACCCCTCACTGGGTGCGCCAGATTTCGCCCCGTTCCGCGCGTTCCGTGTGGGCGTGGGCAGCGCCGGCAGCATGGGCACGATGTGGCCTGAACCCAGCGTTTCCAATGGGGTCAGAAGCAGCTCGTTTCCAGTCTCTTTCCTGAGTCGGGCCATGTCAGGCCGGTACCACGGCTGCATCCCAAGTCCCCAGTAGCTACAATGACTGGCCCCAAGTACCACTCAACCAGATACTAAGGGTATAACGAGGTTTGCATGCAAAATGGTGCCTCAGTTTCTTAGCTAAGGCTGGTAATGTTAAGTCAATAGCCTGTAAGATTCATGGTGATGAAAAAATTGGTGAGGCTACCAAGATACAGTATCCAATGGGTGCAGAACATTAAGAATTATTTATGGGGATGTTTGCTTGGATATAACCGATTTTATCGAGATATGATATGGTATCTAACAATATCATGTTATCTCATTTTATGTTTTAGGTGTGACTGAAAATGGAACATGGACATAGAAACAAATGCGTTTTCAGTGGAAAAATATGACTAGGGCCCCCTATGTTCAGACAAACCCATAGAGAAGTAATTAGACCCTCAATGTTCCAGCATAGAAGATGGATGAACATGGTATGACTTGTCAATAAAAAAAACACAAAACCAACTGGTATTAGGCCCAAAAGTCATAGACAAATTGCAGTTGGTTTTGCAGTTGGTTACTAATTACAAATTACTAATTTAACAATATTACAAGTATTAACTGAACGTATTGCAGTTTACTCCCCAAAGTCTAGATTAGGCCAAAAAGTCATGCGGAAATCTTCGCACGTGATGAATTTCGATCACCAGAATAGCCACGTGCTCGTCTCACAGGTTACCCATGGTTACCCACCAAAATCCCAGGGTTCATCATAATCTGTCTAGTCAATGGCCATTATATACTGGTTGGTGGCCCTAACCATCGTGAAAAATATTTGTCAATGGGAAGGATTATCCCATATATTATGGAACATAAAAAATGGTTGAAACCACCAACCAGTATATATATATACTTTCCAGACACATTCCTCGGCGTTCTGAATCTGGAAATTGCCAAACCAGCTAAAGATGGAACTGTATGGCTAAGATCTATCTACTGTGTTTATGAGCAATATGAATCCCAAATTGACAGCAGCCACAAAGGCAATGATTTTTGCTTTTTAGCTTTCGACATGGCAATAGATTGCACAAGCATTGGATTTTGATGGATTTTGATGGATTTTGATGCATTTTGATGCATTTTGATGGATTTTGATGGATTTTGATAGATTTTGATGGATTTCATGTATATCAAGCATATGCTTGCGTTCATACACGTTTATACACAGCACTGGCGTGCACTTGCTACGTTTTCAGCGACGTCAGTGAGCGTTATCGCGGTATCTGAAGCATCAGTGGATCACAGTGAATTGTGACGTTCGCGTAACGTTCAAAGTTCCAGAAGAGTTCACGATAGGGGAACATTTAGCTACATCACTGGGCCATAAAAATGGGGTTTCCATACCCATGACGGATCCATGGTGCTGGTATATATGCTAACATAAAGAGGGTATCTTTTGATGGGATCCATGGCACACCATATATAGCAGCACCGTTAGGATCCGTCATGGGACAGGTAAATATTCCACCATGCTTGGCATATGGAAATGGACAAATACGCGTGATGCTTCAAGGGATGGACTTGGGAAGGTCATCCAGGTCTGTCAGGTCTGTCAGGTACGAGTTATGGCCCGAGAAACATAGCAGTTATGGCCCGAGAAACTGAAGCCCGTAGAATGTACAACTGTAGAATCCCATAGAAATAAGATGAAATAACCAGTTATTTCACTAGCCATGGCCACAACATGCCATAACTGTAGGGGCTGGATGGTTCTTCCCCCAGTATGGTAGTGTCATAACTTGACCCATCGCCCAAGTTTCAATCCAAGAGGGATTTGCTGCACCAAGTCATCATTCTGGCACGGAGCTCCTCGGACAGTCGGGATCAGTTGGCATGTCACAAGGTGTTCCTACAAGTATCCAACGATTCAACGATCCCACATCTGGCCAGAAACTGTTGAAACATGGAGTGTTTGGCCAGGGCACCTAACTTTTAGCCAGAAACAAAGGCTAACAAAGGCTAACCTAGCAAAGGCTTCGAGCAGCTAACATGGGCATCATTCCCAATGTTTGATAATATAATTAATGCATGTTTATTTGCTGGTTATAAAATTGTGAATAAGAGCAACATAATAAGGTATCAAAGTACTGTACCCAACCAAGGCTTACTCAGGTATAGGACCAAGACAGTATGACCTACCCCAACATGGGGTTATGGTGGATGACTTCTTGGCACCAAAAATATCAATTCCGGTAGCACTGGCCATACCATGGGTGACTTGGGTTTACAACTTGGGTTTACAATTGTATAAGAGCGCAAATCCATCTGGCGAAGGCAATGCCGAAAATCTCCACATGAGCAGTGTTCCGGCGGCACCTCTATCTTTCCAGTGTACTGGTTGCTTAAGAGCTGGATTCAAACAAACATGGATTTTATGATATCCTCTGAACGTTTACATAGCGAACTGGAAAATCACCATTTGGAATAGGTAAATCAACTGTTAATGAACCATTTTCAAGTTCGCAAACTGTTAGTCATTACCTATCCGGGTATCCCCGAACCAAAACCACGCTGCGTATTCCAATCAAATGATCATCATCCCCCAAGGAACATGGTCGGTTTAATCTCATCCAACAAAAAAATCACCCCGATGCTTGAGATATAGTAATATAAAATAACGCATAGGATGTATGCTATATATGGTAACATTTACCATCAATATACCCCCAATGTTAGCATGTTAGCATATATACCATACATGGATCCTATGGGTAATATAACTCAACTAAGATAATTCATGATCTACATTAATCCAACTAACTGGGGAAAGCCAGATCTTTCGTAGCTCCAATCGCTCTGGAGACCTCCAGTTGGACCGTTTGGGTTCACCGACCCGATGACTGAAGATATGAACAACTATAAATTAAAGCATGGTGACTAAGTATAATTACTGGTTGGTTTTCTGCCCCCAGGTTCAAAACGAAGAGGTAAAGACAATTGGACTTGCGGTGATGAAATGTTTCTATATATTATATAGTTAGATGGGACTAGAAACCAGCTTATATAATATATATATAGATATATCCTCGTTGGTGGTTTTAACTCCTCTGAAACATATTAGTCAGTTGGGATGGTTATTCCCAATATATGGAAAAATAAAACATGTTCCAAACCACCAATCAGATATATTATATATAATATATATATATATATATAATATATATATATAGGGGGGGTCACACATATCCCGATGATAGCTGGTGCACTAAAGATATATCACAAGTGTCGCTCGATGATTTTTGCCCAGATTCGATCGACGAGCAGCTCAGAAGGGTTGGTGCAAGATCCATCCGTTCCAACCTGTCGAAGCGGAAGCGACACTCCATGTATCTCCATGTGATATGTGGGATATGTGGTTGGTTGGTTCACAGAAAAGGACATTTTTTTACGGCCTCCCATAAGCAGCAACATGTGGCTGATAGAACCGCGGTTATTCACAGTTCATGCAGCTATGGCTGTCCCCCATCCACGAGTTGGTCATGGTCAGGGATTCCGAAAGCAGCAAACGATCCACATCATATGAAAACACTATAGCCACCCTCCAAAAAAAACACATTCTAACATCATGGTGTCTATCTTTTTGGGAGTTACTGTTTCACCCGCAGGATCTAGGGATTATTCTTATCCGGTACTGTGATTAAAAATAAACCTAAGGGATGTACACTTCATAATATCCTGAGTATGCATCATTAAAACTTGTGAAGTGGATTCACCATATGCATCCATATGCATAGTATTATCATCATAATCATATATATATATATATATATCATATATCCTCATAGTATGATGTAGATGCAGTGGATTGTGATTCATGACTAGCCAAACTTATTTCTAGTGAGACCCCAGACATACCCTAGCTACGGGTGTTCAAAATTTGATGCCCAGTCCGGTCCGCTGATGTTACAACAATGTTGGTCATTTGTAGTATGAAGTTCATAACTTTCAGAGGTACATAATCACCTCATATTTCATGGATATTTGGGATAACGTACCTATATTTTAGAAGAATTACTATTCATATTTCGTACAAATATTCTCCCATAATCATCAACCAACATAATTTGTCAACTGAGCATTGCTCGGATGAAGCTCGGTCTGCACCTGGATCGTGTGTGTTTCACCATTGGATCCCAATTCTTTTTCATTGGTTAATTATGGCTGGTTGGTGGTTGACCTACCCCTCTGAAAAATATTAAGTCAATTGGGATCATTATTGCCAATACAATCATGACAACTCTTCAAAGGGAGATGCCCACAATGCCCACAGGTCTTTCAGAACTTCCCGAAACCCACCATGTCACCATGTCTTCGGGGTGCCGAGTCGCTGATTCTCGACAGCACTTCTTCTGTCTCAAATCCTCAGAGGATCTTAGGATCCATATGGATCCATATATCCCATGACGGATCCATGGTGCTGGTATACATGCTAACATAAAGGCGGTATATTGATGGGATCCATGTTACCAAATATATAGAGATATATATAGCAGCACCATGGATCCGTCATGGGTATTCGCTAAGCTGGTGGATTTTTAGATTATACATGAATTGAAATCACAGTTTCCGATGGGGGTACCCGCAGTTATCATCCACTTTAAGAGGATGTTTTCCATGAAATAAACAATGATTTTTTTTGGGTATCGCCATGACTATGGGAACCTCCTTAAATCACAGTTCGAATGTCTTCCTGGAAAATCAACAGTGTTGCTCGTTAAAATCATGTTTTCTTTTGACGGTCTCACACACTTCTATAACAATGTTGTCTCTGCATGAAACTCAAGTTGTGTTCATGAAATCTTGTGTGTCGTCAGTATGTTTTGTGTAAGGTTAAACCCTCATTTTCGTGCAGTGAAAATATGTTATCTGTATCCAACACATACACAGAATGTACAAGAACAGACACAATATGTTACCCTCTGGTAAACCAACACAACTATGGAACATCACATTGTTTACTAAATAAATCAACCATACATGGCTATTTTGAATAGCTATGTTGGTTTACCAAAGGGTAATCAAGTTCTGGTTGGTTGAGTTTCCAACTCTTTCATGATGATTTTGTTGTGAACATTCAATGTTGGTCAAATCATTAATTACCTCGGGGTGTTTGTGGTCAAATCAAAACTATTGGCACTTGAGAATTCATGATCAAAATCCATGTTCCAACACCTCAGCTTGTGTGTTGCTAAAAAACAACAACACATATTATGTTTGTTATATGTTGTTTTTTCTGCTAAGAACAAGAACTAAGAACATGATTTTGGACCAAATCCACTTTTCCTGGGGGAAAAAAATGATGTTTCTAGTCACCAGACTTGATGAAACGCCCAACGCCCAGTGACTTCCCCACATCTCAGCGACTGCAACGGCAGCAGCGGCAGCGGCAAGACCTTGAATGGAGATCCATACTGGGTTGTTTCAATGTGGTTAAAACAATGTCATAAACCATCCCCCGAATCACCATTTTATAGGTAGTATGGTTACCATTCCCAAATGGGTGGTTTATGGCATTGTCTTACCCACATTATAACCATTCTAAGCGGGACTTATCTATTTCAGGATGGCTATTTCAGGACTATTCTTATACAGTGGTGCTGCCTCCGTACTTTGCAACGTTGATTTCCACGTAGCCGTAGCCCGACCGTTGCATTTCTGGCGATGCAATAGTTAGATGGGGTAAGAACACAACACACAGAACTATATAACATAACTAGAGGGGACCACGCCATACTTGATTGATATACGATTCGGTTGTTTTATATGTGCCATGATCAACACATATAACATGTAATATTATAGATCAGATATAAAATTAAAAAAAATGTTGCTTATGCTACGCGACCAAAAACCTGTTTTTTAAAACCTTTGCTGTGTGGGGTGGGGTTGGGTCGGGTTGGGTGGGGCAATAACGTTCACCAGCACTTGCACACATACGACATGCTACGTTACTTGTCTTGCACTTGCACACACGTAATGCTACATTAGAGACGTCTTATCGTGCGCTTGCACACATACGTCATCCTACGTCAGAGACGTCTTATCTTGCACTTGCACACATACGTCATGCGACGTTAGAGACCTTGTTTGTTAAATCGGTCATGACTATGTGAGCGATTCCAAAGGGTCATTTCCAAAGTGGGTAAAAGAATGTAAAAGAAAAAACAAGGCAGGATCAACATATACACCAACATGATAGATCATTGCTCAAAGGAAATTTACATACCAAGCGCATTGACCCACCGTCCTTGGCTGTTGGTGTACGCACGCACTTGGCAATGGCGTTACATAAACATCTGTAAAAACATATTAAAGACAACAGCGAATGCGCTGTACGCAAGGCGCTGCTGGGCAAAAACGTTCGCAATTTCGACTGGCACGCTCTGCAGCCTCTGTCTTTTTGGCATGTCATAGCAAAAAAAACACATTTCCACACAACGAGGTGCTTAAACAATAAAAACACCATATAGGCACCAATTTCAAGTAAAGGCAACAATCCAAGTGTGCCGAAACCTCACAGTGGGAATTCCGGTGACCATCCCCCCAACCATGAGAGGGTTTTTCTCATCCAACGACCATGGGACGTATGTGCTATGGTCAAAACATAGAGATTGTCATCCCATAATCGTTGGTAACCATTGTTAATCATGGTTCAACCATTTGTTACCCGTTAATCATCTGGTTGGTGGTGACTGGAACCATGGACTTTTGAATGACTTTCCATATGTTCTGGGTAAATTATAATAGTTCACTAACCTGAATAGTTCGGCCATTTAGGGATGATTCCCCTTATGAAAACCATGATTTCCAGGGTTCGGTCGCAGTGAGGTCGTGATGAAATTTACCCATATATATATATATACATACATATAATTATATAATTATCAATGGTAATTTAAGGATCCTAAATTGGTCGTTATAATTTACAACATCACATTTCAGTCACCCATAGGCTTTCTCACTCCAGGATCCCGAAGGATGACCGGGATGACCAACGATTTAAGTTGACCAATTTTGGCACATCGATATGGAAATCATCACCGGTTTTCATGAGTAGAAATGTGATGAAATAATCTAATAATCTACTCATGAAAACTGTTAATCTGTTAATAATCTGGTTTAAGATGAAATAATCTGGTAAAATCTAGCTGGGGATAGACATGTGGGATGCTGTTGTGGGATGCTGTTGTGGGATGCTGTGGGACTGTTTTTGAGCAAAGTGCCCACCCGTGAGAAGCTCCGAAAAGAGATATGTTTTAACAACCAATGAAGATATGACCAACCAACAAAAAGGGCACACCAATGATTTATAGCCCAAAAAAGTCAAACAGCTATAGAAGTATTTGGTGACTGTGAAGGATGGATGATCAGAAAGTCAGTTTTAGGATGGATGGGATATATATATATATACGGGTATGGATCAATACCTAATAATACCATTTTTAGTGGGATGAACATCCATTTACCAGCTATTTTGATGTGAACTACAGGGGTACAAGGTTTTGACACACTGCCATATATATATATACATAGGATGGAAAATCAGGATGGATAGCCAGGATGGTTGTTTTTTTTTGTCACGGTTCCCTGATGAACAAAATCCAAAAACCTTTTTGGTTTTTAAGTCACATTCCAACATTAGCATTCTGCTACCGAACACATGCCTCTTGGCATCATCCCAAATGCCAAGGTGCTGGAATGTGGTTATATACCGACAGTCCAACAAAATAACCATATAGAAAACACAAACAAAACAGCACCATGGTGTTCATTGTTCATCTTGGAAATGGTGGTTTCCTAACATGGACCCGAAAAAAATCATTCAGTCGTCATGAACGACCATGACTTGGTGTGTTGAAACAACCATGGTGACGACTGGGGGTTCCCCATTTTAAGAACCCTTCAAATGGTGGATGGTCGCTTTATCTCATGGTCAATCCTGGGTACAGTAGTCCACAAAAAATACCTTGCTGGTTATGGTTCGATATGTTCCATTTATAGCAAAAAAACACATTCCAGGATTAGCAAAAAATGGTACTTATAGGAGTTCTATGCAATCTTAGAAGGTTTTTAACCATATTATATAATCATATATATTTATATATAATCGTATGTAACCGTCTGCCCCCGCCCACTAACAGTTCAAAACTGCCCCCCCTTCATAAACCACATACCAAAAAAACACAACCATATTGGTGGTAACTCAGGCCATTTTAGGGGATCCTTAGGGTCTGCTTAGGAGAAGATGTGATCTAGGTGGGCCGTACAATTAACAAAGGGTGGAGTAGTGAATGCAACAACATCACTACCTTTGAGGTGGCATTGTTTGTGGTTAAACCATTTAAATCATTTTAACAAACATCCTTTTGTATTGCGCCATATTGTTGGAGCCATCAGGACATGCTTGCTGAACTTGTCATCAACTAGCCAAAAAATCAAAGTATCGATGTTGCTGTTGATATCCTTTGGTTGGAACGTTGGAATGGTTCTGGGAAGTCTGACAGCTGACATCATTTTGCTTATCTGAATATTTGTGTGTCAAATAGCAATGGCAATGATATGGTATGATGATGCAAGGTGTTGCATCGATATGGTGATACGATATTATGACTCATGACATTCTTTACAATATTGAATGCAGCATACCTGAGATACCGAGATACTGCAATCAAACGGTCCAACCATTGTAAGTTATAAGTGAAAAGCGTTACAAAGGCGTGCCTCCAACAATAGTTGTTGAGGTTCTTAATAAACATCATATGATAATTACATTTTTTTTCACATTCCCGCTCCTGGCATGGGCTCACTCTTGAGAGTTTTTTTTGGAAAGGAGGTTGGAAAAAAGGAAATGGTGTGAGACATTTGCCGGGCCGCTGGTCCGAAGGCTGTCGAGGCCAGGTGGCCTGAGATTCATTTTTTCCAAAGAAATTGTGCTTTTTTCGTGCTTTTTTCGTGCTTTTTTTGTGCTTTTTTGTGCTTTTTTTTGTGCTTTTCCGGCGCTCCCGAGCACAAAAAAAAGCACAAAAAAAAACACAATTCATACCACAAAAAAAAGCACAAAAAAAAACACAATTCATACCACAAAAAAAAGCACAAAAAAAACCACAATTCATACCACAAAAAAAGCACAAAAAAAAATCACAATTCATACCACAAAAACACACAAAACAACACAATTCATACCACAAAAAAAAGCACAAAAAAACCACAATTCATACCACAAAAAAAAGCACAAAAAAAACCACAATTCATACCACAAAAAAAGCACAAAAAAAAAACACAATTCATACCACAAAAAAAGCACAAAAACAACCACAATTCATACCACAAAAAAAGCACAAAAAAAACACAATTCATACCACAAAAAAAAGCACAAAAAAAACCACAATTCATACCACAAAAGCACAAAAAAACACACAATTCATACCACAAAAAAAAGCACAAAAAAACCACAAATCATGCGCATTTCCAGCCCGTTCGTCCTTGAAATTGCGAAGGGAAACTATTATCTAATTTGTTTTCAACTGCCAGAAAGCACAAAAAACAGCACAAAAAAAACACAATTCATACCACAGAAAAAAGCACAAAAAAAACCACAATTCATACCACAGAAAAAAGCACAAAAAAACCACAATTCATACCACAAAAAAAAGCACAAAAAAAATCACAATTCATACCACAAAAAAAAGCACAAAAAAA